CAAACTATCACTATTCACAGATGATATGATAATATACACAGAGAACCCCAAAAACTCCACAGAAAAACTAATCAAACTAATCAGTTTAGTAAAGTAGGATACAAAATCAACACAAAAATCAGTAGCCTTCCTATACACAAACAATAAATCTGAAGAAGAAATCAAGAAAACCATTCCTTTTATTATTGAAACAACAAAAAAAAATCAAATACTTGGGAATAAACCTAACAAAAGAGGTAAAGGACCTGTACAAAGAAAACTATAAAACACTGTTAAAAGAAATACAAGAAGACACACAGAAATGGAAAGACATCCCCTGCTCATGGGTTGGAAGAATTAACATTATCAAAATGGCCATCCTATCAAAAGCAATTTACAGATTCAATGCTCTTCCAATAAAAATTTCCAAGACATTCTTCAAAGAAATAGAACAAATATTGATGAAATTCATATGGAGCCACCGAAAACCCCAAATAGCCAAAGCTCTCCTGAAAAAAAGAGAAGGAAATAGAGGCATCACACTCCCAGACTTCAAACTATACTACAAAGCCATAGTAATCAAAACTGCATGGTATTGCAACAAGAACAGACACACGGACCAATGGAACTGAATAGAAAATCCAGAAATAAACCCACAGATTTACAGTCAACTAATCTTTAACAAAGGACCAAGGAATATGCAATGGAGCAAAGAAAGTTTGCTCAATAAATGGTGCTGGGAAAACTGGGTCACTATATGCAAAAAAAATGAAGCTTGACTACTACCTCACACCATGCACAAAAACCAATTCAAAATGGTTTAAAGAACTAGACATAAGACCTGAAACCATAAAATACATAGTAGGAAATATAGGCAAAACACTACATGACGTACACCTCAGTAACATTTTTTTTTTTTTTTTTTTCTGGGACCCTCGCCGGTGGCCGGGGAAGGAACCGGTGCTGCAGAGGCTGCAGGCAGCCTCCCAGCCCAGCGCTCAACCGCTGTGCCACCAGGAGAGGCCCACTCCTCAGTAACATCTTTAAAGACTCATCACCCAAAGCAGTGATAGCGAAGGCAAAGATAAACAGCTGGGACTACGTAAAATTAAAGAGCTTCTGTACAGAAAAGAGACAGTAACCAAAACAAACACACCACACTGAGTGGGAGAAAATTTTTGCACACAACACTAATGATAAAGGAGTGATCACAAAAATCTACAAAGAGCTGACAAGTCTCAACAAAAACAAAGTAAATAATCTAGTCAAAAAATGGGCAGAAGAGCTAAAAAGGAACTTCTCCAAAGAGGATATGCGAATGGCCAATAGGCATATGAAAAAATGTTCAGCATCACTTGTAATCAGGGAAATGCAAATCAAAACTACAATGAGATACCATCTTACACCAGGGAGAATGGCATATATTAAAAAAACTAGCAACAACAAATATTGGCGAGGATGCAGAGGAAAAGGAACTCTCCTGCACTGCTGGTGGGAGTGCAAACTGGTCCAACCACTATGGAAAGCTGTCTGGAGATTCCGCAACCTGCTAAAGATGGAGCTTCCATATGATCCAGCAATTCCATTCCTAGGTATTTACCCAAAGGACACAGAATCATTAATTCAAAAGGGAACCTGCACCCCTATGTTTATAGCAGCTCTATTTACAATAGCTAAGCTATAGAAACGACCCAAATGCTCAAAAATAGATGACTGGATCAAGAAGATGTGGTACATATACACAATGGAATATTACTCAGCAATCAGAAAAGACAAACTCATGCAATTTGCAGCAACATGGATGGAGCTGGAAGGGATCATGCTCAGCGAAATAAACCAGAAAGAAAAATACCGGATGATCTCACTCATAGCAGGAATTTAGAAAACCTAAATAAGGGACCAGGAAAAAGACTATAATAAAGTAAAAATCAAAATCAATAAGCAACTATAAACCAGACACACACTACGGGGGGGTGAGGGGGGTGCGGGAAGGGGCGGGTAGGAGGGATTACTGTCAAAATAAGGGGGGTGGGAACTGTATGGGGACTATAACCAAGATGAAAATGCATACATTGTGCAAAAATGAAAAAAGGATGTAAAAAATATAAAAAGTTAGTAAAAGGCAAAAACAAACCGTACAGTAACATGCCCTTCTCCCCATATTAACAAAAATGTACAAGTCTGGCAATATCAAGTACTGGCAAGGCTATGGAACAGTATGAACTCAGACACATTCTTGGTGGGACTATAAACTGGCATGATTTTAGAGAACAACTTGGCATTATCTAGCCAGGGTGAAGACTTATAGACCTTATGATTCAGCATTTCCACTTCTGAGTATATGCCCTAGGGAAATTTCACCTGTGTGCTTCAACTAAATAAACAAAAATGTTTATATCTTTTTTTTGTTTGTAATAACAAACACTGAAACTAATTCAGCATCCCCAGAGAGGATAAAGGATAAATTATAACACAGTCAAAGAGTAGGTAGTATACAGAGCAATAGAAATAAACTATAGCTATAAGTAACATGAATGAATCCAATGAATGTTCAGGATAAAAAGAATACAAAATATATGAATCCATTTGTATAAAGTTCAAAAATGGACAAAACTAAAGCGGATTGATTATGCACACATGTATCTATGTGATCAACTATGCAGGGAAAAGTAAGTCCCTGCAATACCAGTAACTCATAATATGGATTAGTTTGGCGGTAGGTGGGTGACAGGAGATGAAAGCAGAAAGAGGCATATGACAGGGTGTCTATGGGGAGCCATGCTACTCATGTCGTCTGACAAAAGTCCGGGCATGGGGCAGATTTCTGAAAAATCAGGAATCTCGTTAGCTGACTCCAAGATTCTCCTCATTTGTTTATGGCTAGTTTCTACCATTGCTAAAATACGCATTTAAAAGTAAAACTGCAAATACTGATCAATCACTGAATAACCAATTTGATGACAAATGGCACTGCATGATACAAATATTTCATTTTTCATAAAATTAGTAGTCCTCTGCCAAAAAGGCAGCAATTCAACATTTGGCTTTACATTAACCAGTGAAAAAACTTCTGGAAACAAAAGGTTGTAAACATCTATCGGCCAAGTCTTTGATACAGAGATGAGGTCTCTTGAGGCAAGAGCTAATTGGAGAAAGAAATTCTTTTACTTTAAGGTTAAAGATAACAGTTGGGTGGCAGAGGCGAGCCAGGCTCCAAGTATAAGAAGATTCCTGATAAACCAGGAGACAGCCATAGTTGACTCCTACTAAATTTTTCCTGTTGTTTAGGGCTAATTCCCTAGGGTGTGACAATTGGTATGATAGCTGTTAGAGTATACATTCAAGAATAAGTCAACAGCAATTTTGTGAATGATTGAGCTGGTAACCACGGCAGCACAAATAACGCACTGGGAAATGGTCAATGTTACAACTACTGATGTCACATATTGACCATTTTTGAGAATCAAAGGCTATAACCATCTCCGCCCCTATCCCTGATAAAAATATTTGTAGTTCTTTAGAACAACAACCAGCAACCTTATGGAAGAAGAAATTGCCCCTTGATCTTAAAGTTAAATATGGAAACTAGGCTGACTAGATAAGTGGAGGAGTGATAGGTAGAAAACTCTTTGTTTGGATTAGGAGACTTCCTCCCTTAATTGAGAGTTGGGGGCTAGGGAAGAATCAGTGTGGCTTGCCTGGCATTAACACCCTCCAGGCCCTTGGTTCCTTAATATCAAATCAATATTAAAACAATATACTATAGATGATGATTTCTATATAAAAGCCTTCTGTTTTTTACTTTAATCAATTAGTTATAAGTTAGTCTAAACTTTATAGGTTAGTTAGAAATAATCTCTTTGTCTCCCTCCCCCCAGGTAACTTCCTGCCCTTTGTTTCCCTCAGCCCTTAGTTAATTGTTCACCATGGCAAACTTAGAAATGTTAGTTGCAGACACATACGCTTTTTTGCTAGTAATACAATAACTGTTGCATTGTAAATAACTACTTTGAAAACATTTGTTTAGCAACTGTGCCTTCTTTAAGACAAAGAATAATAAATGTTACACCTCTGCCGGAAGGCAAACAGACCCTTGGCTGCTCCTAAAAAAGAACATGTGATGATTATTACCTTCCTACCTTATGCTTGTGCACTCACGATTTGCTTAGTATAAATAAAGGACTGCTGAGACCCTCAATAGGATGATGTCAGCACCCTGATCAAGTGTCTGCGTCTCCTCATTCCCCTTCCCCTTTCCTTACCATTTTCTCTACAATTGCGCCGATGCCTTCCCATCCTTCAGGAACCCCTGACACCCAGACTGCTGCGGCTGGCTCGCAACAGGTGTCAGAGACACTGGTAATTTAATTATTAACTTGACTTGCATGGTGGGGATTCAGTGTTTCTTATTAAATCATACATATACTTAAACTTTTTTGTACGTCATTATAAATTTTTTTTTAAAACCCCTATGTTGGCAGATCTCCTCCTTAAACACCTTTGGAAGCTCAAAGACTGCTCCCGACCCTGGAGGGTTGCTTTCTAGCACGAGCTCCTGCCACAGGAATGCATGCACAGCAGGCCTACCTGAGGTGCGTGAGGATGGGAGAGTGACAAGTCTATACCCTGAGCCATGCGACATCAACTCAGTCCCAAACTCATGATCACATTCTGTCACGATCATCCTCTTAGGTTCAACCATCAAGTGTAATTATCACACACCACTCACGGATCACAAACACTGGACAGATTCAACTCTGTCTGCTTCAACAGTCATTGTGGCCCTGTATTTACTACACTCCCTTCCTAGCTGACAGCAAAGCACTCCATGCCTCCTGGAGATCTTACAGCAGTTGCATCTGTCATGGTCATAACATGTATACCTTTGGTTGCCCTGGTGTTGGATTTTTGAGTCTATCATGGACTGTTAACTTAAAAACAAGGGCTGTAAGAAAAACGCATCATCATTTTGTTTGGCATTCGAGCATAAGATAAACTAGCTAGAAAAACTTAAACCTTACCTCTGCCACTTCCTTTTGAAAAGTCAAGGTCATCTGGGTCCTGCCATAAGTAAAAGGTCCATCCCTGTGAGAAATGTTGTCAAGCCACTTGATAATCAGTGGAGTTGACACACTGAAAGGCAGATTTCCGATAATATGTACAGCTGGAGGATCTGCATACCAGGAGAAAATGATCAAAATGGGTATGAGTTATTATCAAGCAAAAGTATGTGAAAATAGATGGCTTTTTTCAGTTCATTCATTCCTTGAAGGCGGTGCTTTCTTATAACCAGCTTTAATATATTAAGGAAAAATTCTACCAAATTAGCATACGTCCTAATTAGTCAGTGAAGTCATCAGTTTGAAGAAAAAGATAATCTGCTTGAGCATGATGACGGCACAGTGCCTTGAGGCACTTGGGAGAAGCTGTTGTAGGGTCAGATGCCCTGGAAGTCAATGCAGATTGGATGTAATGATGAGAGCTGCGGAGACACGTGGCCAGGAAAACGGCATGAGGCCACTCTGCAGCACAGGAGCAGTGGCCCAAGAAGGGAAAATCTCAGACACAACGTGTGAGAGGGGGGTGCAGTAAAGAATAAAGTTGCCAACATTTTCCAAGGAAAAATAGGAGGGTCTGGTACCAGGGCAGAGAGGAGCAGAGACACCTTTCAGAAGAGAGCAGATAAGGGTTTAGTGAATGCAGAAAACTCGAGACAGATCAAGTGTGACACAGGCCATTAGGGGGTTACTGTGGTACAGCCTGGCTGGGGTAGGGGCAGGGGCAGAAGCTGAGTGTGCCCAGAAGAGACTGGCAGGCAGGTAGAGGAAGGCAGCTGTGCTGGCCAGGAGCCTGGCCGAGCAGGAGCCATGGCAGCAGCTGAGGAGGTGGGGGATGCGGGGTGGTGTACACCAACATTGCTCTTTCCACTGTACTGAGAAGTGTTCTAGACAAGAAATATAAGGCATCTGGGCCTCCCCAGTGGCACAGTGGTTGAGCGCTGGGTTGCGAAGCTGCCCGCAGCCTCTGCAGCGCTGGTTCGATCCCCGGCTGCCGGGCGAGGGTGCCACATGGCGCGCAGACCTCTCCTGCTGCCCGCTGCTCCTCTCCACAGTGTACTTCGGTCCTTCTGCTCCCTGCTCTGGCTCTGGTGAATTCTCTTACCCTCCCGCGCTTCTGACTGTACCCAGTGCTTTCATAAATAAACAAACAAACTTAAAAAAAAAAAGAATAAAAAAAAAAAAATAAGGCATTTGTCTATGCATCCCCAAAAGTGGCACAAAACGGGTACCCAAGAGACCCGTGAATGAAAGTGCCTCAGTTGGTCACTGAATGCTAAGACAAAGGAAACAAAGGTAAAAATAAAGGCCTGGGTGTGGCTTACTTTATTAAAACACTTTTTCACCATTTGCAAAAAGCAACCCTTCACAGTTCATTCATCCTTACATGGCGTTACAAAAAGTTTATTTGCACAGAACCCAAAACATTTGAAAATTTAAGTCAGACTTTATACAAAGTAACTAGATTTATATTTGAGAAGTAGAAAAGCAGAAAAAAATTACAATGTACATTATTTAATTCTGTTAAGAAAATATTCACTATACTTAAAACCAATCACTGTATAATGAATATTTGTAATTAAGTAATTATAAAAGAAAATTTAAAGTCTAAACAAAGGCACTTACCATCCTCCCACTGTCTTTTAAGACTTTCTGGAAAAGCCTTTTCTATCTTAAATGTCAACACATCTCCATGGACAATTCTCAGTTTTCCAGGTGCTGCATCAGAAAGCATCTGTTTGAAGAAAAAGTCAATACCATGAACTTATACACTTTGGAGAATAAGAAAACTAATTTTTATATTTCAAAGCTGTGCATCATTAAGTCAACCTGACCAGCCAGAGATCAGCAGCGATCACCAGACAGACAATGGTGGTGCTCTACTTGCCGCCCAGACTCGCTTACAATTTCACAAATAATGTACCAATATAATTTCGATCCTCAGAATGAATCATATTTCTCCATAGATTAAGCAAAAACTGTTTTGTTTTCTTTTTAAACATTCTCTTCCTTTACCACTTTTACTCTGACTCCTAAGAAGGCAACATGCAGAGTCAGGATTCAGTGTTCAGGAGGGATTTCGGAGCATCAGATGGGGGTTTCCTGGAAGGAAAGAGGGGTGTGTACCATCTGAGGAATCCCCCAAGCAGGCTCCACAGATTCCTCCTGGCTGCCTGCCAAACACAGCCCTCCCCGCCTCCCCAGGTTGCTGTGAAGGACAGCCAGACCCTGCCTATTGCCAACTTTAATCAAAGTGATTCCTGGGGAATGAAAGGTGACCAGGTCAGCACAGGTAACCCCAAGACATCCTGTCTTTCCCAACAGCCCAGTCAATGATCCACCTTTCCTCCTAGGAATCTAGGGCCGCAACACATTCACTTGAGCTGGTTATGAAAAACTCAACTCCTAACTGTAAATTTCAGAAGTAGAGATTAAAGACATTATAATGAAATATTGAGAATCCATTAGGAGTAAGTCATGTGAAAGATGAACTTAATTCAACTAGATCTTTAGAGTCTAAATATATATAGAATTCCACTTATTACCAGGATCTCTAACTTAATCACAAGTATAGTCAAACCAAGTAAAAAGCCACTTGTGGGGCCTCCCTGGTGGCCTAGGGGTTAAGTCTCAGGGCTACCTAGCACTGCTGTGGCCTGAGTTCAATTGCCAGCCAGGGAGCTAACCCACATGGCACAGCAGACCTCTCCTGCCTTGCCTGTTGCTCCCCCCAGCAGTGTATTTCAGTTGATCTGGCTGTTCTGCTCTCCACTCAGTCTCTGGTGTATCCTCTTACCCCATGCACCTCTAGCTATACCTGTTGTTGTACGCATAAATAAAAAAAGAAAAAAGCAGCCTCTGCACTGGCCACAGCATCCCCAATCTTACTAATTCTTGACCCACTAATTCTTGACCCATGGGCACCTTCAATCTAATCAGACTGCATGTCTTAACAATAGCTATCTCCCAGCCCATGTTTACCTTCCAACCATTGCTTTCCATCTTCTTCTCTGAGTAAAAATAGGGGCAAAAAAGTATACCCTTTCGTTTGCAATCTTTTAAAAAATTTCATCTACCTTAGCACCATCATTTAGAAAACGCTCTCAGAAGCTAAGTTTTGACTCTTATAGCTAAGTCACCTATAAATTTGTGTTAAGTGCTGCTTCTGTACGCAACACAAAAATCTGATCCTTGACATCTGCAAAAACACACAGATGCAGTCCCTGGGTTTATGAAGTTTCAAATACAGATGTGAATATGCTCAATGAGAACGCACATTGTGACGAAAGGAGACCAGGCAAGAGTGACCTGCTTTCCCTCTAGCACCTCGGTTCAGGGGCGCAGCGGTCCTGGCATCCAACTGAGGGGAGCTGTGACCTGAGCATCAAGCCCAGTCTCTCCAGTTCCTGCAAAGCGGAGTTTCTCTCCTGACCTGTCCCCTCACCTGACTCAGGCACTTACGAGGAGGATGCGAGCAGCGCCACGGCAGCAGGAGAGGAGATTGTGGACCAGACACCCAGCCTGTTACCAACGCCTGCCTCTGTTCCAACACTGAGCCTCGTGCCTGCTTCTTCCGAGCATTTCTAATGACTTGTGCAAACATTTCCTCCCCTGACAGCTTGTACTCCAGCGGGCACACTGCTTCTCAGAAACCCTGATAGCGCCTGCAGCCACCGAGGGGCTTCCCACACCAGATGAGTGAACGAATAAGTGAACACCCAAGTGGCAATCAATTTCCTCTCCTAGCCTGTGAGATTTTGGGTTCCCAATATTTGTAAAGGCAAGAAATCAAAGATTTAGTTCAGGCAGAGCCTGATAAATCAGGCAGAGCCACCTAAGTAATGTTTCAGAAATACGCAGCTGAAATATCTGTATTGGTAAAAGGCTAAACATTTTAAGTTTGGGAATCTTCTAATTGAGTATGTTTAGCCATGGTGGTTTAGCAAAAATAATTGCAAACCTCTGGTATTAACATTCTTGTGGATTACTTTAAATTACCATGATGTGCTAAAATTTAATTTGATGAGTTCCAGAAATAAATCTTAGAAAACATAATAACCTCACTATGCTATAAATAAAAACAAAGACAGCTCTCAATGGGACAGGCTCTTACCACATAAAAACTGTATTTAATGATAACATTTACTGTCAAGAAAGAAATTTTTCTGTAATTACGTTTCCCATAATTAAAACAAAACAAATTAGCATACCAAAAACAAAGAGGCAGACCTAAAAGCTTTTGTTTCAAGATGTAAATATATAGAAAATAATTAATAATCAAGACTAAAACAAAACAATGCAAACTTGGCTCTTTGGCATTAATTTACATACTATGATAATTCAACCACATTTGAAATGCTAATTTTCTCCACACTGACACACACAGCCACATATCAAAAACTGATATAATACACATCTACTTTCCTTCCTATAATCACATTCAACTATGTAACTTTCCTATAAACCTCTAGGCATAAAGTTGCATTATATTTCTTTTGGATTCTCCTTCAGGCTTAAGTCTCAGTCAATGACAAACCCAATCCTCCCATCCTTTAAAGGTCTTTCTCTTCCTTGACCACAGGGGAGCGCAATCTTCCTTCTCAGACTTCCCACTGCAAAAGGAATGAATGCTGTTCACAGCTTTATGTGAAGTCCTAGAAGCAATTATGGGGGGCGGGCAGAGTGCCATACAAACTGAAATGATGGTATGATTACAGTTTAAATAGCCATTTAAGCACCTAATAATATTCAGCAATGACCCTCAAAGACTTTTAACCAACCACTAATAGAGAAAAATGGTTCAGTATGATAATGATATTTGGTGGGTGGTGGAGGGATAGGAAAGATTACTATTATAGCCCTTCAAAAACAACACGGTGCATTACACATCAAAGCCTGTAAGTGTTAGCTCATAAAGTGCTTAAAGACACAGCTGACTATGAAGGAGGCACTTGATTACAACCAAATGAGTACTTGTGCAGACACTCTTAAATTGTTCTATCACTTTTATTTCAGTTTTCAATCGCACATTCTTCCAAAATGAGACTGAAGTCAGCCTAGAGTAAAAGGTATTCATTAGATAAGGCTGTAAAGCAATAAAAAAAACCCAAACCAAGAAAAGGAGAAGCATAATGTAAATCATGAGTGCTAACAATCCTAGAAATATTATAGCTCCCACAATTTACACAATGAATTACTTAAGTTTTATTCTCCACTGGAAGTAATTATACCAAATCTCCAAGACTGAAAATGATTTTTCTACTACTAAGTTTTGTAAAGGATCAAAATAATGGGGAATATTTTTAATAAAAGTGAAATAAACAAATGCAAAAACTTCCTCAATAGTAACTTAAAAATATCTCTTCTCTAACAAGTTAAGGTTTTATAGTGCAAGTTTTCTTAAGGGGTAGGAATGGGGATAATAATTTAATAGATTAGTTAGAAATTATACTGGCTGCTCACTAAGTATGAGGCACTCACTTAATCCTTATACCAACACTATGAACAAACTGAGGCACAGAGATATGGTCACCTATTTAAGGTCATAGAACCAGCAAATGCTAAAGGGGGGAAGTCAAATACAGCCAGTTAGACTCTAAAGTCCAAATTCTTTACCACAAAACTACACTATAACGCTTTCACATATTAGACTAATTTTTCTACTTTTACAACATGTGATAATGGGAACTATATGTTACCATTATGTTCTTTCCCCTACGCTGCTTCATGATAATATTATAAGAATTGAATTAAGCTACATGACATACTTTCAGCTAGAAGACAGTTTGTAAATTATTACAATTTCTTTAGAAGAAATTCTATTAGCTTAGAAGTTACTAAAATTGAATCCTTAAAATAGACTGCTCTCCTGCCTTTACTTAGTTTTATGATTAATTTAGTAGTTCTAAAATAAAGTGGTTTTACATATTAAAACATTCTTTTGAGGAAAAAGAAGTCTATTTGATATTTAAGTATTCAACATTTCTTTTTAAGGCAAATTCCTTTCCTGCATACAAGACACTAAGAATTAATTTTGCTTCTACTGAAACAGATGAGAAGTCGAATATACACTTCCTACAGAGAAATTTACCTAAAAATTGACCTTCATATTTAGAAAAAAGCATGAAACTTTTGGATAATCAATGCTACACAATTATTCACCTTTACTACTAAATGTAAGTCATCTAATTAGATAGTGAAAGTCAACTTTTTTACTTCCTGTCTGAGACATTAGTTAGGTGTTAAATACTATTCTTACATTTGGTAGAGATACACCAGGGAACAAAACAGACAAAAATCTCTACTTTAAAAAAATTTATTATTATTTTTTAATTTTATTTTTATTTTATTTTACATTTTTTTGTGGGACCCTCGCCGGTGGCCAGGGATCGAACTGGCACTGCAGAGGCTGCTGGCAGCTTCGCAACCCAGCGCTCAACCGCTGTGCCACCAGGGGAGACCCAATTTTATATATTTTTTACATCATTTTTCATTTTTGCACAATGTATGCCTTTTCATCTTGGTTATAGTCCCCATACAATTCCCAAGCTCCCTTGCTTTGATCCCACTCCCTCCTCCGCCCCCCCTGCAGTGCAGCTCTGGTTTACAGTTGCTTGTTGATTTGGAATATTACTCAGCAATCAAAAAACATAAACTCATGCAATTTGCAGTGACATAGATGGAGCTGGAAGGGATCATGCTCAGCGAAATAAACCAGAAAGAAAAATACCGGATGATCTCACTCATAGCAGGAGTTTAGAAACCCTAAATAAGGGACCAAGAAAAAGACTAAATATAATAAATCAAAAATCTCTACCTTTACAGCAGTTAGTTTCCAGAAGGATGAGAATGACAACAAACAAATGAGAAAGTAACATATATACAGTGTGTTGGACGATGATAAATCTAACAACATGTAAAGGGCTTGCAGGAAGGGCAGTTGGGAAGAGCAGCAGCTGCTCTTTAAAATTGCCTTCAAAGATCTTTGGTTAAGATCAGAGAGAAAATATGTAAATTAAGAAGGGGATGATCAGAAATTTGATTCACCTCCTTAACTAACGAGAAAGAATCGCACGTAACAGAAGGTGAGATTGAGAGTTAAGAAGTCACGTAAAGGTGGAAAGTCAGGTGAGTTTTCCCTACGCCCACAAAGGACTAGAACAGACCTGTTATTCAGTTTTTCACCTTATAATCTCACCAAAAAAACACATCCCTACTTCTACCTTCAAATAAAATACTGTTCTTAAAAGCACTTCAAAGCAAAAAATCACTATTATGTTCCGTACTTAATCAAGTAATATGTACAATATACTAACCCAAAAGTTACAAATCTGAAGACAATTATGTTAATAAAGACTCACAAAATTAAAGAAAATGAAACATTATACAAATTTTTAGAACACAAAAATAGGAGAAAGCAAAATAATGACCAAAAAAATCACTGTTTCTTAAAAAATCATCAGATACATGCATAGAAAGCTCTGGATTTTCAGATTTCCTCAAACTGTTCTGGCAAAAATTAAACATTTTCTCAATAAATACACAAGCACTAAACTGTACTGATTTTAAGGCATATGTCCTCTTATTTGAGAATAATAATGCCGGTAAGCTAATAGATTACTATTCATCTAAGCCAAAGGTTAAGGGTTCTCTGAAGTTTTGGAATCATGGAAGAATCAAAGACCTTGAAATCATTAAGTGTCTCATAAAGAACTCCTTTACGAGATCTCTAACATAATCTAGTCTACTGTTTGCCTCCCTCAATTCTTATGTATTTGTTTTAATTCTATGCTAGAGATGATCAAACAGGTCTTCTCCTGTCCACTGCCAACCTTTGTTAGACTGCTATGAATTCCCTTACTAAAGGCTTCTTTCTCTTCCCTAGTTCCTTCAAGTAGGAGAAATATTTCTCATATAATAACATCAGCTATAGTTATACACATATGTATCACTTCATTCAAATTTCATCTTAAATCTATAGGTACAACTTCATTCCTTCACTTAAATAATTCGCTTATACAAATGCCTAAACAGTCTCTCAATGAAGCATATCATCCCTACCCTTTGCTTTTATTAATGATTTTCTGAATCTAAATGAAGTCCTTAGAAGTGATACAAATAACAAGTCATTATCAATTCTTTGTATTCTTAAAGGAATGTGCCATGACACACACATGGTTATTGGTAGATTTTAAAAAAAGGTCATACAAGACAATTTGTTTAGCATCATTCATGAAGTAGGATGAGTCAACGTATGCTCAATTAGTCCATGAGGTTGCTTGTAGAAGTGTGGATTCCTAGGCCTCTCCAATCCACAGAATCAAAATCACTGGGATGGAACCTAAGGGTCTGCAGCCGTGTGGGCTCCATGAGCTGGCTACCGGCTGCCACTCATGTACAACTGGCAAATATGGCCACAATGTCCCCTTCCTGTCCCTCATAAAACTGTGTCCCCTATTCCAATCCCACCCTCTGGACCTTATTCCACATACCATTGTCACATGATCAGCTTTTACTAGCCTATGTGCTTTCAGTAAGTGGCACAAGAACTCTGCTCAAGTAGCAATCTTGCCTTGCAAACCTGCTCCATCACTGCTGCATCCCTTCCTCTTGTGTCCAGCTGCAAAGTGGCAACAAAGTTCCTGTTGCAACACAGCCTGAGGAACAACTGTAACCCTTGGACATGCTGGAGCTTAAGAATTTTGGCCTAAAGATTGAAACTGGTGTTTCACCTCCTAATAAAGACACCTTGAGAATCTTACCTGTAATCCAGGAATAAATCGAATGTCCTTTTCAACCACCAGAAGTTCAGCAACACCAGCATTGAGAATGGATCTTGTGATTCCCCCAGGTCCAGGGCCCACTTCACAGACATAAGCACTGGTCAGGTCACCAGCTTTCCTTACAATTTTATCTAAAGAAAGTAAGTTTCAGTTATTTTAATTATCTTGGCAAATTTCAATGTATGGAACTTAAGAAAATCTATCTACACCCTTATTAGCTACTGCTTAATCAACGAATCCCTTATTGTATGAGCTATCCAATTACTTTATTCTCAACTGAATAGCAATTCAAATACTCTACCACAACACTGCTGAATTGTACCAGTTCCATAACAAAAATAGGATTACCACAATAAATTTCTTTACATTTAGCTAATACAGATAACAGAGTATGTTCTGTTATTCTACTGAACCAATCAATTTTGAAGGACAGACCAGGCACACATGCACTACTTCCCTAGTTGCTGAACAGCGATTGCTTGAATAAGCAAGTAATTAAATCAAGAAGCAAAAAGTGCTGGCAGTCTCATTTTTATCTAAAGACATCTAATTGGTCATTGATATGGCAATGGCAACAATTTTCTAGATCATAAGACTTATAGAAATTTGGGGTTTTGGTCATTTTTAAGGAAAAAGTTAAATTTAGCAGTTGAGATTTTTAAAGATTTGCTACATACACGTGATAAGAGAAAATTTATCTTTTAACCAATATACTGAAGTTAGCAGATCTTAAGAAATCATGGAAAAGCAATGGGGTGGTCACCCTGACTGGGCTCTAGGAATGGTAGAAATCTAGCCACTTCTGGGCAGTGTTTCCTGATAGCGTATGGTACCATTTTTGCATCTGTAACTGAGAACCTGCCTTTGTGGATTTAAAGGCAAAAATAATCTCTCAACTACCCACTCATCTGTCTTAATGGATGCAGGGAGGTAATCAGTATCCACTAACAATCTCTTTGTTCCAGGTGTTCTACACACTCCCAATCCTTTGAACACATTAACAAGGAACTACTACACCAATTGAGCTGCCATGAACTCTTCAGAAGTTTATTGGTGTAAGGTCATCTAGAGAGCAAATGAGATAGGGCTCCAGGTCAGGTGTGAATTCTAAAGCCATTACAGACCAGTACCTTTTCAGAGGGGATGTTAACACAGGCGTTACACAATGAATTTGATATTCTCATCTCATAAAATGGAGGGCTGTGACAGCAGGCAGGTCAACTCTGCCCTCAAGCTCTACAGGCACATTCAAATACAAATGCATTATTAAAGTCACTGTTCATTTACTAAAGTTGGGCGTCAATCGTCCCCTGCTCCCATCTGAGCTTCTCAAGGCAGTCAGGTAACTTAACCTCTCTTCAAACTAGTTCCCACAGAAGAGGGAATAACATTACCAAGACTCTGGATTTACTCGAGGATAAAACAAGGGTCCCGTGGGGGGGGGGGGGACACAAGATTTTAAAAAATATGTACTATAGACTTATATTTTCCGCTCTCAGAACGTGGCTTTCTCCTTAGAATGTGGCTAATGACGGACAGAAAAAGACCAGTTCTGGCCACTACTAGAATCAGTGAATTTTATAAGCGGGTAACCTTTTACACAGAGGGTAGCGTGACCTGGCCCATGTGCAAGAACCAAAACATCTTACTCGTGCTTATTTCACTTAACTGAAAACACACTCTGGGTGTGACTTACTGCTGTAACTTTTAACTTTTGAATGAAATATGTATCCAAACCTCACAAATATTAACTGTCCCAACAATGAAGTAGTGGGCACAGTATTAACACACCTTATCCTGGCGCAATCTCATCTTTTCGAAGAGACTGACACCAAGGAATGCGGCTTGTGGTTACATGAAAGTGGGAGTTCGTCCAAACCGCACACTGACTCCACGCGGGGCCTCTGCTCCTGCCCACGAAGCTCACCTGCCGGCAGGTGACACGACCTGCCCCAGGCGGGGGTGGGGGTGAGGGGGGGGGGGACAAGGCCCGCCCGCCCCCCGCCTCGCCCCAGCTCCAGCCCCCGGAGGCTTGTCCGCTGCGTACTGACAGGCTGATTCTTGGGGTCCGGGGATTTGGGGCCCCGAAGAAGCGCCGACGCCGCGTGCCACCCGCCCCCCAGCACCTCCCGTCCCGGCGACCCGGCGCGCGCCCTCGGGCACCCGGAGCAAACGCGCAGGCTCCGGGAGGCGGCGGCGGGACCCGCCCCGCCCGTCCTCGCCCCGGCCGGCCCCGGCCCCCCGGGACGCGCGGAGACCCGGGGCGCGCAGACCAGCCACCTGTCAGCCGCAGGTCCAGGAGGAAGTTCTGGGAGAGCTGCCTCATCGCCTGCAGTCTGAACAACCTAATGATTTCCCGAATCGTGGGCAAAGGCGGGAGTCGGAACGCGGGGGCGGCCATGGCCGCGGCGGGCCGGCCAGGGCTCACCCCGACCTGCCCCTCAGCTCCGACAGCCGCCCGCGGGGGAGGCGCGCGGGAGCACTAGGGCCCGCCCCCGCGCCCACCTCATTGGTCGGATCTGCCGCGCCGGAAGTGATGAGCACGGGCCGGAACTTTAGGCGTACTCAGAGCGCATGCGCCACGTCCTCCCCCGCTACGCGCGGTGCAGGCTGGGTGCACGCTGGTTTCCGCACGTGAGGGCGCTGGAACACGCTGGTGGGCGGGGCCTAGCGAGGGTGGGTGGTGACGTAGCGACAATGGGCGGGGCGGGGCGGGGCTTGGGCGGAAAATGGGCGGGGCGTATCGCAGGTGGCGTGGAGCCCAGCCCCCGCCCAGGTGGGGAAGCGGCCAGGGCCAGGGGCTAATGCTCCTCTTTGAACAACTAACTGCATGAAAACCCATGATTAAAGGCAAAACGGTTGGTGGCCCACAGTTGCCGCGTGCATTAGATATTTTTAGAATCTCAGCGCTGCAGGTGCAGGAGGCAGGTTTCTAGCTACCTTCTCCGTAGCTTTTTTTGTCTGTTAAGTGGATAGAATGTCTGCCTCAAAATTGTGAGCGCTGGAGGAGGGCCTTGGTGTGCCCATTCAGAACGTAGTGGACTGTCTGGCACGCGCGAAGCCGGTGGTCAGCGGTGGCCATGCTCTCGTTTTCTGCCAGGTGAAGGCAATCCCGAGGGTTCCATGGTCTCAGCACAGCTTGTGAGTGCGAGTGCCAGGAGGAGTCGGCTTTCCTGCTCCTTCAGAATGCATCCGTCAAGCAGAAAAGGCGCCTTGCTTAGTACTGTAGACTTTAAGAAGTGTCTTTACATATATTGAAAATTTTTTTGAATCCTCCACTATCAGCCTTGTGAAATTAAGTATTATTGGGCTCCCCTTAGGAGGGAGGAAACAAACAGAAGCGAATGTAACAATGAAATTCACAAAGCCAGACACTTGCTGCAGAGCAAGTTTATGTAACCAGTTTAATGACCTTTCTGGCTCTCAGTAACTGGAAGGCTAAAAAATGGAAGGGAAAGAAATTAACGTGGTAATACTAATAATAGGTAATATTCTTTGAGTTTTTTCTCCCCAAAGTACCCAGCTTTACAGTAGAGTGCTTTACAGCTATTACCTCATCAATTATTACTAAGCTAAAGAGCTAGGGAGGTTCAACAACTTGCCCCAAAGCAGCACAGACACTAAGTGGATGGGGCCCTGTAGTGGCAGGACTGGCCACAGTGCAGGTTTTCTATGATTCAGCAGACGGGGTAAAGGAGGAGTCAGAGTCCTGGAACCCTCAGTGGCTTTTGCAGGCTTTTATTAGGATTACCAGGTACACGGCAGGCAGGGGTGCTGGGGGGCCAGGAGGCTGGCAGGCTTCCCAGCTCCCAGCAAATCTTCACTCTGGGCTCTCCGGCCTTCTCTCACTTCTCTCTGCTTCTCTTCTTCTCTCGGCTTCCGTTCGTTCTTGGCTTCTGCTTTTCTCGGCTCCTGCTGGCGTCCCCGTGACGCCGCCCTTAAAAGCCCAGTCTCAGCCCAGGTGAATCCCATTTACCTATGCCCACACCCTACTCCAGGTGTCTGCCATCAGGCATGCATTCAGGACCACAGGGTTCCGTCATCTATCCTAATGGCGGGAGGGTAGAAAAGCCTGACACTTTTTCCTTACCCTACAGGCCCAGATTTGAATTCACACAGTGTCCAGAGCCACATATTAAATAGTGCAGTTGGTGTAGACAGATAATTTGGTTAATCCTAGTTTATACAGATGAGACTTCTGTCTGTGTATTACACAAAACCACAAAAGAAAGGGATTAAACATCACTGACCCACATGGCCCAACAAACCTCTCCTGTCTTGCCCTCTGCTCCCTTTAGCAGTGTGTTTCAGTAGATCCACCTGTTCTGCTCCCCACCCTGTCTCTGGTAAATCTTCTCACCACCCCCTTGTAACCTCTGGCCTACACCCCAGCTCTTGTCTGCATAAATAAATAAAATAAATCTTTTAAAAAAAAATCTAACATCAGATAATTTACCTTTTCTAACCATTTTTGCAAATTGCTTGTTTGGTTACAAGTGAAGCATACCATTTTTTATTTTTCAAAGTAACAAGCTTTTTAAAAAGCTAATGGAAAACCAAGTAACTGTAGGCATGAGGTGGGAAAAAGTAGCTATTGAAATTCCAATGGAAAACCCAACCACCTTTTGCTATGGCTGTACTGGAAGCAACTGAGAGATCATCTGACATACCACCTAGTTTTGGAAAATTGGAAGTGACTCCCTTAGATCTAAGGAGATTTGCCCAGATGACATAAAATTGTATCTTGAAAGCCTAAATTTTCGATTCAGAGCCATTCACAACATACTCTACCCAGGAAAGAATTCACTCACATTTGTATTCATGGTTTCATATACTGCTCACTATGGTCATGTGGATAAAATTATCTTAATTTTACTGTGAAGAAAAAGAGGGAGATAACATCATTTGATTTGCCTCAGGATTACACAGAAAAGGAGAAAGAGAAGAATTAACCTGAGTTAAGTCTGAGTTCTTTTCTGATCTCAGAGGCTACATCCAGAAAACATGAAATAATTTTTGAAGTTATTTAATTTGTTAATTTTATAAGACTATTTAAAAATTTAGAGTGTGACTGTAGATATAAAGTTAATTTTACAGTTTTCATGTGACTATTTGAAACACAATTAGAATATATATGCAAAGCCTCCAACAAATACATATTACTAATTTAAAATTCAGGTTACACATGTGCCAGGGAATGGCTAATTTTTCTCACCAGTTTTCTGGATCCAAACTACTATGAAATCTTTATTCAGAGTTTTTGTCATTGACACTTGTCTTTCTGTGGAGGAACATGGATGCTATATGTTAAATCTGCTTGTGTCTGTTTTCATAGCTTGGAAACACCTGAAGTTGAATTAGTTTGCACAGACACTATCATAAATTCGCAGGTTGTTTGCCAATTGAAAGGAGTGTATTGAGATGATCTAGAATCAGCTCACATGAATCTTTTAGAAGATGAACACCAACATGAAAGCAAAACAACATTTAAAAGAATTAAAAACACAATCACATGGAGAATTTGTGGATTCCTGGCAGTTTGTCCCCAGATGTAAATATGAAAATTATCCTCTTACTCCCTGTTGGTGTACAATTTAAGGGCCTCCCTGGTGGCTCAGGCGGTTGAGCACTATGCTGTGAAGCTGTCCGCTGCCTTTGCAGAGTGGGTTCGATTCCAGCCGGCCGGGGAGAAACCCACATGGCGCAACAGATCTTCCTGTTTCACCCACTGCTCCCCTCAGCAGCATATTTCAGTCAGTCTGCCTGTTCTATTCCCCACTGTCTCTGGGGAATCCTCTCACCCTCCCAAACATCTGGCCTGTGCTCTGGTTCTTGTATAAATAAATAAATCTTTAAACAAACAAACAAAAAAACTAAGCACCCACTCCTGGCCTAGCAGGCAGTTTTGGGAAGCTGGAATTGATAAGGCTGCCTTAGGGAGAAGGCCATAAAATCCACCATCATGATCAGAAAATCCAGCCCAGCTCTAGGAATGTAGAAGCAGAGGCCAGAGCATGTTTCTGTGTCAAAGGCCAGTGCCGGAGACCAGACTTCCAGCAGATAACCTCTGCAAACTGGTGCCCTAAGTTAGAAAGCCCCGAAAAACAGTATAAAAGAGAGCCTCAAATCCTCCTTAGCATGCAGACTTCTCCCATTTTGCTTGCTGCTTCTCTTGACAGTGTTTTTCAATAAATCCACCTTTTCTGTTCTTTAGTCTGGACTCTTACCCTGGACTCCAGCCTCACCCTGCTTTTTTTCCCCACTCCATTCCTACTATTTGTCCTTAAAAATCAACACTTCTGAGGGTATGACCTGTTATTTCAGAGCAGTTTCATGCGTTACTTCACTTAATTCTCACTCTAATTCTGTGCTATTCATGAGCACAGTTAAGGTGCCATTAAGTGCGCAGCTGAGTCTCACATTCTGATCTTCTTGACTGCCAAGCTTTTCCACGTCTGGTGCATGTTATGTAATTGTCGAATTCAGTAAAAAATTCCATGTTAGAGAATCTTCCAAGATTTTAATAGTTCTTGAGGTCTAATTTCTATCATCATAAATATCAGATTCTCTGTCTTTTAATTTTCAGAAAATTTTGCAGAGCTCCCTGCAAAGCCTGTGAAATCAGCAGGGGGCATTTAGTGGTGTATTTCACATATTAATGCAAACAGTTTTATCCTTTAAAAGAGAAGTATGCAGCTTCATCAATTTTGAGGCTTTGAAGTATCTGCTTCATCTAGATATAGATTTTAATATGCTAAAATATTGTAATTAATACAGAAATTACTAGCCCCACCTATCAGTGAAGCTGAAGAATTACAAATGATTCATACTCAACTATGAGGCAGAATTCTAATTTGCTTAAATCCCACTATGATTATATAGGAAAATAGCTTATTATTTTGGTATTTATTTTAATGAAAATACATATGTGCCTTTATTTGATATTAGTACATTATTGTGTATTTATAGGAAAAAAGTGCTAATTCTAAAAGGTTGTCATTTTACAGTTCCCTGATAGGGACTTGAAAGACACAAAGAGCAATATCTTTCTGCCATGTGGGAATTTTCAGAGAAAATTAAATGTGGCTTGGAATTGCCAAATTGAACTTTATAAAATGACTATGATGGTATGTAAAGTGCCCTTTTCTGATGGTATTTTATAATTTTGTATATTATAGCCTAATGCTCTAGAGAAATATTAAGAGCTGCATTTTGCACATATTTATTTTTTATTTTTTTAATGGCCGTTTGATGCCCACTGTTTGTAAAAGAATCTAGTGACCTACCTAGAGGGAAGAAGGAAATACATGGTAATTCTGAGCAGGCAGACCAAATGCTTATTCTGTGGGGACAGAAGCAGGGCAACTTACAGCAAGCAATACACGCTAATTGCCTGAGGGAACCATGTAGCAGTTACACTATTTTTAAAAAATATAGTATTTATCACTATT